TTTATTTGATTTACTATGTTATAACAATTCTTAGATTCAAGATCGAATCTATTCAACCGAAGACACCGTTTGCTAAGAAATTACGACTGCTCATATATATATTTCGAGTTCCGCGCCTACTACGCTGCTCTACACTCGAAAACTAATAAATACAATTAAACGAAACAATTCTGTCCGCATCCGGCGAAATTTGTTTCGTTTCTAGTGTAACTGACCGGATGTATCCAAATGTTGGTGTAATAGTAACTCGTCGGAAATCACGGAGGGATACGTCAGTAGTTAGCAACCCAACGTTGTACAAACTCTTCCCCAACATTGCGCGTTCCTTATCCCCCCAACATTGCAAACAGTGTGTATCTTTTGCTTTGATAAGCATACTCTAACAATTTTCAAAATTATGAAAACACAGCCGGTTAAAGACAGGACTGATTGGCCTTGTGTAATTGAAAGAAGGTTTGAAAGAAGGTATAGGTAGGTTACAAAATCTTATGGGCTGGTTTTTCTTGATCAATTTTGCAGTGATCAACATATCAACATATGACAGATTCAATTGCAAAAAGTCGTCGCGAAAAAACCTACACTCTATATTCAAACGAGAATAAGTACGTCGGGAATAAATTATTAGAAGGTCAGAAAAAATCAGTACTGGACACCAATAGCTTTGCTGATACAAAAACCACTTGTATTACTCGATCTATGAAACGACTTCTAGATGTTGCAGAAGAGAGCCCTCCAAAACGGTTGGCAAAGGTTAGAACTGTGGATTCAAACTTGTTAAGTTTTTTGAAAATGATCTTGTATCTGAAACACCCAATGAGAACAGTTCAGACAAATCCTATCACCCTGATTTGGATAAATCAGCTGATGACACTTTTATTCAAACATACCTATTGTGACACTACGACTTATTCTCTACTGAATCGGACAGTAATGCAGCAAACATGACGTATACCGATAACGATAGAATTTAATGATTATTAATCGCTGCTAAAAATAGATCAATTAGTCCGCTCGAAAGATATAAAAGCAGCATAGTAATTGCTTATGCACGTATTGTGGGGACTGAAGCTGAAACGCTCGTGACCTCGAATTGGTCACGTAATTAGTATGGCAGCTAAAGTATGTAATTTATGTTCAAACTTGTTATAAGCGTATGATTGACTAACCTCTACCACCCGCCCTCTACAGTCATCTCCCGCCAGTTAAAATTCAAACTTGGAGTTTTATTGCTGATACTTCTCTCACACACTTTGTATTTAAAATGTTTACAGCAAACAATTGCACGATTAATGATTGGATGATATATAAACTTGTTCTATATTTAAACTACAATGACATCTGATTCTTTCCACCGTTAAAATTCAACACTCACTGCGTTTTCGTTCTATAGTTACGTGACACAACTTCGTGTAATACAATTACAGGTCGGTCTGCAACAGAGTCGACCGGTCGGTTATACTGTATGTCCGTTAATGGACATTTTAATTGGGTCTTTTGCATTCAAACCATTTTTCGTCTCTCCAAATTCGTTCTTACTGTCCCAGAACGCCTACTAAGCTTTCTAAATTGCATTGGCGACACTGAAACTCTAGATTTATGCATGTTTTTTAATTGCTTTTCAGGTTGTCAGTCACATGCATATAGAAACGATAGTTTATTTGCGGAGATCGGAACTATACGGTATATTCGTGCGTGTGAAGCTTTTCTTTATTGCTGCTGTGTAAGTTTCATCCATCCTGTAATGAAAGTCATATACCAGTGACTATTATCATTATACAATATTTAAGGTGAATAGTTCATTCCAAGACAAAGTTTTTCGTTTGAACATTAATCTATTTTTGTCATTCAGCAATATATCCTAAATAAACTGACAATACATTTTACGTCAGTGACTGTATTGTTACGTGAAATACCAACTATATTTCTTTCACACACTTCGTATTATATGTTCACAGCACGATTAATAATTGGATAACATATAAGCTTTAAACTACAATGACATCTGGTTCTTTACAATGTCGATGGAAAGAGATAACAATGATACAGCTCACAGGCAGTAAGATCACGATCCCCCTCCACCTTCCGAATGGACAGGTATATGAAATGGATTATGATTATATATGGTATCATTTCGTTAACAGGTGCTCTTGAATAGG